GATGAGCTTTCCAAAAATGTATAACAATATATATTTTAATTTAAATTGTTACCGAATGAAGCCATTTAAATCCATGCTTCAAACAGCCACAAAGCGCATTTAGCGCACCATTCCAACTTGTCCAGTAAATATCTATTCTATATACAGGGTTAGTAAAAAGTGTGGAGACCCCCTGTTAATTTTTTTAACGGCCCATACTAAGAAAAACTAAACTCGGCACACCTTTATGGCATGTTATGAAGTACTTTTTGGGAATAACAGCCACTTGGTGATCATCCCCAAAATGGGGGATTTTGGGGGAAACTCTAAAATTTCAAATTTTAAGCCCCATTGAGTGACCCCTCAATTTGAAGGTCCTGGTAAAAGAAAGCCAACAACGCAAATTAGAGGTATCTACCTCAATCCAGTAAAAAATGGCAGCCAATTGAAATTCTCAGAAGTTAAATTTAACTTACAGCTTTTCAAGTCTGGGGACCCCCTGTAAATTTTGTAACGGCTCACACTAGGAAAACTAAACTCTACACACCTTTTTGGCATGTTATGAAGTACTTTTGAAGCCTAATAGCCACTTGGTTACCAAACCCAAAATGGGGGATTTTGGGGGAAACTCAAAAACTTTAAATTATAAGCTCCATCGAGTGACCCCTCATTTTGAAGATCATAATAAAAGAAAACTAGCAAACTAGAGGTCTCTATCTTAACACAGTAAAATATGGCAGCCAATTTAATATTAAATTGCAAGTTATTTCTGATTTCTAAAGATTTTAATCAGCTTCCATTTTTTTACTGGATTGAGATAGAAACCTCTAGTTTGCGTTGTTAGTTTTCTTTGACCAGGACCTTCAAAATGAGGGGCCACTCAATGGGGCTTAACATTTAAAATGTTGTTTTTAAAGGGTTGTTTGAGTTTCCCCCAAAATCCCCCATTTTGGGGATGTACACCAAGTGGTGGTTATGCCCAAAAAGTACTTCATAACATGCCATAAAGGTGTGCCCAGTTTAGTTTTTCTAGTATGGGCCGTTAAAAAAATAACAGGGGGTCTCCACACTTTTTACTAACCCTGTATAATTCAGTTTTAAAAATATTTGTACAACTAAATCTAGAGTTCTACTGGACCGATTTTATTAATTATTGAGTCGTTGGAAAGCTTAATTCATGTAAATTTGCAAATAGTTATGAAAGTTTGTTTTTGTTATGATTTATGGTGAAAAAAAAATGTTTTCCATAGGAAATACATTGGAAACTGTGTTTTTCACACGTTTTATTTGGGTGCGACTTTTGGCTACTTATTTTGAGTATTTCCAAAAAGTGCATGGTACCAATTTGTAGGAAACTTTATTCTCTTTCAGAATATCACCTTCCACTCTGGTGGATTTCCTCACCATTTAAAAATTATTTGCTAAAAGGCTAAGCAACCTCTGAATTTATAGTAATGATAAAATACTGAGTAAGGGATATTAACGAAAATACAACATATTACAGCATATTAACTTTGTACAACTAAATCTAGACTTCTACTAGACCGATTTTGTTAATTAATGGGTCATTGGAAAGCCTAATTCATGTAGATTTGCAAATAATTATGAAAGTGCGATTTTATCAAATATTTGTGGTGAAAGTTTATTTTTTCAAGTTTCTGTTTTCAAGTTTCTATTTGTAGCCAGCTTTTGCCTGCCTTTATTAAGAATTTTCAAAAAATGCATGGTAGTTATTTGTAGTAAATTGTATTCTCTTTCAGAATATCACATCCACTTTGGTAGATTTTCCCTCCATTTAAAAGTTATTGGTAATAAGCTAAGTGATCTACAAATTTTAATTGGTGAGAAAATAATAAATTGTTTTTTTTTTAACTTTGTACAACTAAATTGATTGTATAAATGATTGTATAAAGCATTGATTGTATAAATTCACTCCCACCCTTCATTGACGAAGGAACTGACGATGATGAGGGAAAAGAAAGTTGATATGTACTGTATTGTTTATGCCTTACTTAAGTGTTTTTTAACTGTAGGCTAATTAAACCTGTTGAGCATATATTTGCCTTTTCTTATAACTACCGATTACTTAATTTTTAATCCTTGTGAGTACTTATTTTCTTACTATTTTTGTAATTCAGTGTTCTTATTTTGCTTGTTAAGCATTCACACAGGGTGTGTGAACAATAAATAAATAAAAAGTAATCATTTAGTAATATTTACTGAACAATTTGGAATGATGTGCTAAGTGAAGCATGGATTTAAATAGCTTCATTCGGTAACAACTTAAATTAAAATATATATTGTTATACATTTTTGGAAAGCTCATAAAATAGGTAAAAAGTTTTGTTTCAAACACATTGACGTACGATCTACTGCAAAAACCAGGGTTTGACCTAATCTACAATTTTATGTAAAAAAAATAATATTTTTGTTATATCACAGATATAAACCCACCCAATAGAGATAATGCTACATGTAAGGTTATTTTATTAAAGTAAATTTAACGGGGAGTTCAAAGAAAAAACAATTATGCTGATAGCTCGTTTACATCAAAAGATATAGGTGATTTAGTAAAACACTACACTTTCAACCTGGTGTTTTGGGGGAGGGGGGGTTTTAAGGGGAAGCAAGGGGGGGAAATTCGGGGAACTTTCAGAAAACACCCTTCCTATCATACACTATCACCATGCAAAAAATCAGCTTTACATCTTTCATGTCTTTGTTGGCCTTGATTTTTAACTTAAGTTACTGGGCTATAATGGGCGTACGATTTTTCCCGTAAACCTTTATTTTGGGTCCTGGTTCAAATTCTGCATTGGTGTTAAGAGTCCGCATTAAACCGTATGGTCAACTCATGTAGAAGGCAAAGGAGAAGTGTCTTAGGTAAGGAGCACTATCTCAGACTCAGGTAACTCCCACGCCTTAAAAACATTTGACATAGTTTCATTATCACGACAATGAAATATAAATCATGATCTCTATAAGATATTTATTTTTAATTATTTACTGTCCTTGTAGCTCGAATTGAGCATCAGACTTGATTTGGAACCGTAATAATCTTATAATCTTGACCATCCAAATAATCAGCAATACTTGGATATCTACCCATAGTGGACATTTCAACAACGAGCAGTTTTGTCAGTGTGATCAGTTGTTTTCAATTGAATAAAGATCAATAATATTTTTAAGTTAATAGTTATTACCCTCCGTCTAACACTGTAAGTGACGTAAATGTTATTTCTTAGTGTACATTTGTAATAATTTTGTGTAGATAATTTAGTTTTGAACTATGTCGAAAACTAGTAGGTTTGCAAACATCATAATTACAATACCAAAACAACCAATAAATACTTCCAAATAAACAAAAACTTAATTATACATCTGTATGCAAAAAATACAGCAAATCTTAAGAGATAGAGCTTAAGGAAATAAATACTAGGTACCTGTTGCTCGAATTCAAGCAATTGCTAAGTAGGATTGAAGGCGTTATTTTAAAACGAATAACAATCATAATTTCTGATGACTTTAAAAGATTCTACTCAAAGATTATGGAAATACTCAAGATGTACATAACAGATCGATATAATCAACATTTCTTGTAAATATCTCATAATTTTTCAAAAGTTGATCTTGTTTTTAAGCGTTTTCTACAAATAGCCTTACTCATAGCCACATTAGGTTGTCTATAAACATGATTATAAATTTAACAAAAATATTTTTATTTATTCTCCTTGGTGGTATTCTGTGACTTTCCTATGTTTCCATAGTTTACGAATCGGCTCGTTCAATGATTACTAAGAAATTCAGCAGAGTGTCAATTCAGTTTTCTTTTTAGTACCTATATAAATTATCCAGGTTCTCTCGCTTTTTTCCATTGTAATATTTACGCCAACCCAAATTCAAATAGTAAATATTTCAAGTCAACCAAGTCAGTAAATGTTTGCAGCAAACTGTTAAATTAGCAAACTTATTGACTGTTACAATTAACATATGTTCTTCTTCTCACTTTTAATTTCTGACAACAGCTGGAGTTTCGTAGCAATGTTTGTTTCCCATGTTCATGTTAATCTTATGGAGAAATAAGAAACTTTAAAGGGCCCCAATTTCACAACTTCGCGTTATGCTCTTTTCAATGACACCAAAATCATGGCAATCGGTTCAGTAGTTTCGGAGGAGTAATTGTCCCAAAAACCTGTTTGCGCATTAAATAAGTATTGATATTTATCGTGAACAAAGATATAATATAGGCCTACTGTTGTGATTATAAGTAAGCTTAGTCTGCTCTCTACTGTTTGAGGATTATGATACAGAATTTTACACAAAAGCTAAAATTAGGGAGCAATTGTTTACTAAACATAATGTAAAACCTTTAATCATATTTGTCTATGGTTTAATCCCATTTAATTTTCATGTTATTATCACTAAAATGAAGAGTTATAAGCAAAAGTAGGATTTCATGTTATTAATTGTTCATAAGTAGGCCTAACACTTGGAAGCCTCGTGTGTTTACTACACGTCATTGTAGTTGGCCTACTTATATTAGTGAATAAAAACCACTTCATGTTTATCTAGGAAAGATTTAAACTGCTCACTTTAAATGTTAATAATTTTTGTTTTGGATTATAAAAAAATTCTTCTTGTTAAAAAAAATAATCAATGAATACTTTTTGATGGGTTTCTAAAAATCTTGTTTTTATTATTTTAAAAATATAATTACTCCGTTAAACATGTTTTAAATAAAACTTTTACTCTAAAATGAAACACAGATAAAATACATGCAGTGTCTACGGTAATTGGTTTTACTCGCGATTTAAATCAAATTTAGCGATATATAATTTCAATAGCATATTCAACAAAACTATAATCGAACCAATAAAAATACTCACGATTCAATTCACCAGTTATCACACTGTTGTGAACCAATGCCCACATTTCACAAACACGACAAAATCTATATCGGCAAGAAAATTGCGAAAGTGGAAGAAAGCAATCAAATTTCACCAGGAGAAAGCAAACTTTACCTTGACTATGGATGAAACTGTAGGCACCATGTTGACAATTCCCTCGGTTGAATATATAAGAAAAACACTATCACTGTCACAATAAATGTTAATGCACACTAGTAAAATGTTTGAATTTGAAAAGCGAATAAAGAAGTTTTTGGCACCGCGGACACAGTTATACTACATCTTCGTGCGACACACCGTATACTGGGAGAGTGGTTTGTGCACTGTACAGTACATTAACATACGTCCCTGGAGGGGTACTTTCAATGTTACTAATCAGACCACCGGAGATAGACTGGTTGGCGACGAGCGGAGACTGAGCTTTGTACAGAACTCGCCTGAGTCACCGTCATCAACAGCAACAGCGACACAGTGGCAGTCGCGGGAGACAGTTTTCTGGCTACACAAATTATTTTTTTTTTTTAGAGTTTAACATAAGTTAATCGTTGTCCAATGGATGTTGATGGCTTATAGTGTTACAACATGTTTAAGCGCTGAATTAATACAGTGCTACTTAACCTTGTTTGGTAGTAATATTCGTTTAGAGTGTACTTTTATGTAAACATGAATTCAGCCAACCCTAAAGATTTGGGAAAGACTAAATTTTCTTCCCGTAAATTAGTCATGCATTTTCACCACTTCGTATGGATTTCGATTCTGTGCTTTTGCAATAAGATTCTTGTTGGGAAAATAATTCTCAAATCACACTGTTTTAAATTTATAATTTGAATTTCTGTATGGATATTAGATTCACTCCAATTATTTTTCGTTTGATTTCCGATTCTATTGAAATCCACTTTCATTTATTCCTTTCCTGTTACATATCCGTCCTGTCCGTTTTGTAACATTTTTGTATTGACTTTTTGACACAGACAAAATTAGTAGTGCCCAGCTAAAAGTATACTGATGACTAAAATAACAGGGAGGGTTTCTAAAGATTTTATGTAAAATCATTTTAACTCTGCCCTAGTGTGACAGCTGATGATCTAACTGCTTTTGACACGTGAAATATACATTTTGTACCAGTATTTTATCTAGTAAACACTAACCAAATGTGTTGACAACCAGAAATTATAACCAAGAAATTCCACAACCAAAGACCACTGATACCAAAATTAAGTGACAAGCTAAAAACAATGATTTTTTAAACACAGAAAAAGATCTACAGAAGACCAAGAAAAAGTCATCAGCAAACCAGAAAAAAATATTTACAACCCGAAACAACAATCAGGATGATCTACAACCTAATGGAAACCAAATTATCTGGTAACCTACTAACAACCAGATCGATTATCCTAGGACAACAATCTACCGGTTGAAGACTAGATCTGACAACCAAGCTGGTTGATACAGCTGACAACCGACTGGTTTAGAAGTCTATGGCAACAACCAACAGGTTCACCAACCAAACTGGTTGGCTCACAATTATCGATCAGCTGGTTCACTTCAGGTTGTAGATTGTCAGGTGAATCACCTCCACAAATCGACGTGTAATGAAGCTGTCATGGATTGCACTTGTGATTGATACAAATGAGGATCTAGAGAGAAGTAAAAGTTCAAACACCTCGTGTGTACTGCGATTGACTTTGGCATACTGATGCTTAAACAATACTGCACATCACAGCAATATTGGCTTTCCATATTGCAACTTTTAGCCACTCGAGAAACTTTGCACACTAGTTACACCATAACGATTTCATACAGTTACTTTAAAGCATGTAAATAATTAGACTTTCAAACACCATAAAACACGTTATAGGCTAGGTTAAATCCAAGCGTTGCACGTGTTGCCAACTTTTTTTTCAAGCTACACGTATTACGTGCATAATAAAAGCACCCTGTTTTGCTTTGTTTGATTGGAATACTGGAGTGCAGAAAAAAATGTGTGCGGCAAAAGTAAGTTAATTCAGTAATTAGCTACTTTGCGTGCTATAACCAGTGCAATGAAGCCTACTTTGTCAGGTAACTGTAGAAAAAGAGTTTTCACACAGTTTGATCACACGAGTACTGTAAAAACATGATGTTTCGCTTAAAAGCCCTTTTCCAAACCCAACGTCCAAAATCGTTCGAGATGTTTACCCAACTTAACTGTTCCTATATAAATTTCAATTCATCAATATACATTTGTTTTACGCTTTTATCCAAATGGATTTAAAATCGTACAATTCTTAAGAATTAACGTGTTTATGGACCTAGAATGAACAGTGTTTTTTTTTTTTTTTTTTTTTTTACTTTGGACTGTGAAAAAATATTACAATTAATTATTCAATATCAAGGTCTTATTATGAAAACTACATCAATTGCACTTCCCTGAAGGGTAATTTGTAAGAAGTAAATATTAATTTGTTTATCACATTTTGTTATTCGAGGGAATTGCGATATTTAAAGCAAAACGTATTATTTATATAAAAACCGGACAAACCTCTTGAAAAAACTGACTTGATACCGTCATTATATTATAACAACATTACGTAAGTGCTTCCTGGATTGTTCAATAGAAGTATAATGCTAATAGCATTGTAAAAATAGAAGTTCTAGTGGTAGAGCGCGGGACTTCGTTTCACGAGTTCCCGGGTTCAAATTCCACCAATCACCAATAGATTGTGAAGTGATAATGCTGCTACCCCCATGTGCGGGGTTCCAGAATGTTTTGGTAATTTATACTTTCTTTTGACAGGTTTTTTTTTTAAGAATCATCATTGATTATTTGCAATTTAGATTAGTTCTTATTTGTATGCCATTGCTGCCTTGAGATAAACAGATAAACAAATACTCATTACAAAAAAGTTTGCGATTGTAGATTATTCACACGTTAATGTACATATAATGTAGCTTCCTCACCATATGTTTACAAAGTGCACAATGCTAGCACTACTTGTTAGTGGAGATAAAAGGATACAAAACTTTATCAAAATGCCGAGAAGTGGCCAGAGGTACGAACAAACGAGTTTACAATGTTGGTTTTAAAATATACGTTTAAAATTAGTAGCAAAACTAGAGGGAGAAGATTAAAAGAAAGTTGAAATCTCAACACGAATAAAAAACTAGAAGAAGAGTAAAATAACAAGAATTTCAATAAATTAGCGTTAGAAATACAGTTTTCCACTTTGGAATTGTTACGTCTAAAAATAAAAAATAAATTTTAAAATAATTTGCATGCTGATTGAAAAGTACCCCTTCCCTTCATTTGGTAAAAAATTATATATATCAACAACCAAACACAAAATAATATGTATTTGAAAGCGTTAACAAGCAAGACTGGGCGTTTATAACATGGGAGATAACCAGCCAATTTGTCACGTAACCAAACTCATTGTTAAAACTACAACAATGCAACAATGGAAACAGCTGATCCAACATGTGACAGATTGACTGTTGTAATAATCTTTACAGCAGTAAAGTCGCTTTTAAAGTAACGGCTTTTTACTATTAACGGCTTATTAAGATGTATTAAATCTATTGTTTGCTGGTTTAATTTGGAAATATATCACGTGTTTAATTAAACAATATTTTGTTATGTAGTTCACCTTTGTTTTGAATCAATTGTTTTATGTCAAAGCATATCTACGGATACTATTTATGTACATTTTTGATATAGATGACTAAGACCATTTAATTGAAACCCAATAATCAAGCAGCAGCAGTGTCAAGTTTCGAACCATCCAAAATCTACCAACTATACTCAGGTGCCGGGAGCTTTCTTCTACTTAAGGCGAGCTATTCAGCTTACACAACTAACCAAAAAACTACTTATTTTTAAGTGGCAATGCTTATTTTTTTGCTTAATTAACAACATCCCTAAGACATCATCAGCCAATCCCTCATCGTTAATCTGTTTGCGAACTGACATAAATTTAAATAGTTAAATAGTGTGAATCAAAGTTTGGCCTGTTCACAACCAGAAGTAAATGGTTAACCAAGTTTGGCCTGTTCACAGCCAGAAGTAAATGGTTAACCAAGTTTGGACTGTTAATCAACCAGAAGTAAATGGTTAACCAAGTTTGGACTGTTAATCAACCAGAAGTAAATAGTTTACAAGGCTTGGACAGTTTCTAAACCAGGAATAATTATTGCGAATCACTATTTTTGGAATTTTTCTCAACCAATCGTTTCACTTTCACAATATCAAGTAGTGCTAAAACTACAATGTCAACTACAAAGCCAATGTCAGTGCTATACTGTACAGTGTACAGCAACCCTAACCCTACACTTGAGCTAACAGCTGATATAGTTGATTGACCGAGTGAATGTGTATAATCCAATGTCGTGACGTCAATGAGAATGGGAGCGTTGCCTAACAAGCAAAGGCGACTTTCATATACATTATGTCGGATTTATTTTCACTTTGTGATTGTAACGTATTTTTAGGAGGTATAAATACAATTGTGACATTCAAGAATTCAGCAGTACATGTGAAATGAGTGAGTTGGTGACTGTCGGCAGAGCCATGGACTACGGGCCTGGCAGCGATGTCGTGGATCCTTCTTGGTACCTTCCACGACTTTTTATTTTCTTTACTGGATAGATCCGACGCACAGGCTCGAGGCTTTTTAAGGGTTGCAAATGCAAGTTTAAAAAAGTACGTCAACTTAAAAAAACAAAATTAAAAACTGGGATTTAAAATATTGTGATTTAAATTTATTGAATTGGAACATTTTTAATGAGTAATTTAAGTACGAAATTGTCGGTAAAATTTAAGCATTTAACAATGGAGAGGAGCCTACAAATAAAGAGTCCTCGTTTCAGATTCCACTTTTCTTTCTTTATTGATGAGCCTGCCGAAACTACTCATACATAACATAGCAAGACTAATACATAGAATTATTAAATTAAACTTAATCTATGGCCACGGGGGAGGTTTAAAATATTATAAAAACAGTTGACCGGTGATTGGTATCTCTTCAATCGAACAGACTTTTTTTATTTTTCCTTTATGTCCCACCTTTACAACCTAGTAACCTAGGTTCTAACCTGAAACTGTTTTACACATTACTTCAGGTTAGTCCTATTCTGTGTACGATTGGAAATAGGTTAAAAAATATACTACGACTACGATCAGCTGTTGCAGTGTTTCCCATTTCGTTCAACGCTTGGATTTAACAACCTAAAACTTGTTGTTTAGTAGTTGGAAGATTATTTTTTTATGCTTTATAATAACTGTAGGAAAAATATAATGTGTTACACGAGCACAAATTGCCTTTTCTGCACTCGAATACCTTTCTACACTCGCCTACGGCTCTTGCCTAAAAATTTCTCTCGTGTGCAGCAAACTGCC